GATTAGTTCACGTGCACAGGATCGAACCTGGGCTGTCGGATTGCTGGGTCGTCGTCCCTAATTCATATTTTTAAAAAAATTTAATTAAATAAAAATAAAATAAATAAATTAATCATTTTTATATAATTATTAGATAATTAATCTAATAAAAAGATTATACCGAACTGATTTTTGGATATGAAGATTACAAATTTATTGTATAATTTGAATAAAACATAAATATTAAAATTTATTCTTAAAATATAATATTTATAGTTATTCACGTATATTTTTCTTTGATTTTATATCGCTTAATATATAAAAAAACTTAAGCCAATTTTTATTTAATAATAAAATAAAATATGTGTCCAAAAACTTCTATTTTCTAAAATTGGGTCTGCGCGGACCACGTCCTCTTGCCGTCGAAGCGAAGAGAGCTTATTAGACTCCCGCCATTAACGCGTTCATGCCATTCTGTTCAAAGGACAGTATATATGTATATATATATTATATATATAGCCATAGAGGGAAAGAGCCCAAAAAATGAACATACATATAAATATATTTAGATACACATCTATTATATGTGTATGTGCATTAATTAGTGTTGAAAAGAAAAAAAGAAACGGTTTCGTCTCTCGGCAATTTCTGCGAGTCTGTGAGCATTGCATGAACAAACCCTAAATAGAAGTAGAAAGAATTAAATGAAGTGATCGTGGCATTGGCCAAGAAGGAAATCACGTAATTTTTTTATATAGTTCAATAGATTAAATGAAAGGGAAGGGAAAGTTCTCCAAGCGGAAGCTAGGGTTACCCGCTGCCCTCTTATTCTGTTCTGTTTTCTTTGTTGCTGGTTTTTTTGGATCCACTCTAATTTTCCAGGTACGTTGTGCAAATAATTGTAAGTGTCCGTATCCAGGTGTTGGTTTGCTTGGGCTGATTTTCTGATTGCAGGATGCGCCTAGTGTTAGACCAAGGTTGAGGATGCTTGAAGTGGTGGAGGAAAAGAAGCGTGTTCCGATGGCACACGGTGAGACTGGGGAAGAGTTTATTGAATCCATTCCGTTTCAGGTGAATTTCGTGTTCAATCGGGGGAAATTTTGGTTTTGTAATCGGATCGGAATTTGGAATTTCATACTGCTGAATCCAGATTCTAATAATCGTGGATGATGTTGTAAAAAATTTTGGTGTAAGTAGTTCGGAAAATGTATGTCGTGTATTTGGATCTTAGAAATGGTTGACCTGATAATCTGCATGCCTTTCATTCTTTCAAGGGTACTTGAGTAGTCTTGGTAGTTTGTTAAGATTGACAAATCTAGCAAGATAAGTGTTGAGTGCTTAGTTAAGAGTTCACAAGTTCATTCTTAATGAGCCCATAAATTAGATTCAAAATAGGTGAAGGGAAGGAAACCAAGAAATACTCAGAACTTTTTATCTAAGAATTCTATGTAAAACGACCCATAACTAGATCCATTGGTAGGCACTCTACCACAGGGGCGCTCTAGATTCTTTTGTCAATAACTGGAAGCATTAGAGTGTTCATGGGATAGCTGCAGAGGAAGAGTAGAACATAAATTACAATGACAATAGATTAAGATGGTGCCAATAATTAAAGGAGTTTACAGAAAGAATGATGGTAAACTGAAAAAGTTGTTTGTTAAATTGACATTTAGAGTCTTCATACCATAAGCATTGGATAGTGCTCTAGTTAAAAATTTTCCTTCTTATTCTTTGGATATAGGTCTTAAGTTGGAGACCAAGAGCTCTTTACTTCCCACAGTTTGCAACTGCCCAACAATGTGAAAGGATAATTGAAATGGCAAAGGTGAACCTTAAACCTTCGGCCCTGGCTTTGCGGAAGGGAGAAACTGTTGAGAATACCAAGGGCACTAGAACAAGGTATGCTGTGCATTCTCATTTCATTTTCATACTCCCAACAATATTAGATTTGAGTTTACTGGGTCCATTTATCTGCAAGATCTTACAAATAGTTGGTTTTCAGGACAAGAGATTATATATAATTGAAGATATAAACCAAACGGTCTTAGCATTTGGCCATAACATGGTAAAGTCATTCACATTTTAATAGTTGGTAAGGCAACACTTCGTGTGTTTTTTTCGGCGGGGGAGGAGGAGCGTTCGCAGGTGGGAATAAGGAGAGTAAAAGAAAGGCACTGGATGGCTCTGTTTGTGAGTTTTTAAGAGCGTATAGGGTTTTAAGAGTGTTATAAATTTTGCCCAAATCCCTCAAACAGCCAAATTTCAACCCAGGAATTGGGTATTCAGAAAGTAAAGGAATGAGGAAGTATACTAGTTGTCCTTTGCCTCCTAAATTAGCCCTCTTGTCTTGGATATCATGTTATTTGGGTTCAAGGGTTCTCTAAGGACTTGGGTAATGTGGACATCAATTTATTTCAGGTTTGGTTGATTCGGGTTTCAAGTGATTTTTCTTATTTGATTTGGGTTTGATTAGGTTGTGTCAGTTTTTCTTCTCTCTACAGATGTGACAGGATCAAAAATTTTTCCCTTCTGTATTTTGTGAAACTCTCCTAAAAAAGAAGGGTTTCTTTTTTTTGTTAAATAAAAAAAATGAGGTTTTCAATCTTATTTATCCCATACTCTAAAAAGGATACTGTTCTTTCCCCACTTTAACTCCCAAACCTTGTGTCAATGTTGATGCATTTAGACCTTACAAATGTTTGTTTACACTATTCTTCAACAGTTCAGGAACATTTATTAGTGCATCAGAAGATGAAACTGGTGTCTTGGATGCTGTTGAACGAAAAATTGCAAGGGCCACAATGGTTCCTCATACCCATGGAGAGGTGAGATTTTTGTACTGATCTGTTGTTTCATTTACATTGTTTGTAATTTGTTTTGCAAGCGAAGGATTTAGGAAAGAATGTACTTAACCAACTGGCTTTAAATGGTCTGGTTATATTGGGCATCCATAGTTGGAGTTCAAGGGTTCTACTGTCTCTGAGTTGGTTGAAAAAGTTTTCTCTAGCAAAAGTTAGAAAAATGGAAATAGTGGTAATTGGTAAATGGTTTAAGTCCACTTGGTTTTTGTTCCAAACTTTTAGTTTTGTCCTAGATCAATTTGAGACATTGGAAAAATGGTGATGATGGTACTTAAGAGCTGCAGGATTCTGTTACTTTTACACTTGGTCTCATGTTTATGCAGACAGTTGTTTCTTATGTAATGATTTAAGTGGTTTTGTTTTTTAGCTCTATGCAAAACATGTATATTGGCAGTTTTGCACGTAATCATGCTTTTTCTGTTTGAGTTCTTTTTGGTCCATGGGTTTTTCATTTCTACTTCTCATACTTGATTCTACCGTCCACTGGAAACATGAAATACTTTTCCCTTCTTTAACTCGGCGATGTCTATCAGCCATGTTACCCTTAGTAATATGTTCATGACAACATCCTGCAGTCATTCAACATTTTGCGATACGAGCTTGGGCAGAAGTATGATTCTCATTATGATGTATTCAATCCAGCTGAATATGGTCCACAATCAAGTCAAAGGGTACATCTCTGAGAAATTGCCTTCCCCCGTTCCCCTATTGTTACCTCACTTGATACGTTCTGATGAATTAGTGGAACCTTTCTTGTTAACCCTCTTGCAGATTGCTTCATTCTTGCTGTACTTATCTGATGTAGAAGATGGTGGAGAAACCATGTTCCCCTTTGAAGTAAGTTTTGACCATCGCGTTTACTTTCATTGATTATAACAAAGTGGTAAACTGCTCATCTAACTATTTACTCTACTGCTTCGACCTGTAGAATGGCTCCAATATAGGTACTGGCTATGATTATAAGCAGTGCATTGGCTTAAAAGTGAAGCCACGAAGAGGGGATGGACTTTTGTTTTATTCAGTGTTTCCAAATGGCACAATAGATAAGGTACTGCTTGAACATTTTAATTGGATTGTGGACTATAGCATCTGATTCAGATATGATATCTTGGGCTCTTTTTTGTACGTAGAAGTACTCTTGTTTTTATTTTATATTCCTGATATATTCTTCTTTATATAAGAACATGCCTGTTGTTGGAAATGATATTAATGTTTTATAACTCAATTATTGCTTGCATAACGAGCAAGGGAGAGTAACTGAGTACATAGAAGTACTTAGATAAGGTACTGCTTGAACATTTTAATTGGACTGCGGACTATAGCATCTGATTCGGATATGATATCTTGCGCTCTTTTTTGTACAGTGTTTCCAAATGGCACAATAGATAAGGTACTGCATTATTGCATGCATACCGAGCAAGAGAGAGTAACTGAGTACATCCGAAAAAATTACACTTCCTTGAAATTTCACATACCATATAAAAGATTACATTTCCCTGAAATTCTACCTACTGTTAATTTAAGATGTTGAGATTATGAAAGAAAGAAGTGGAATCGCATAGATCGTAGTTGGTGAATAATTTGAAATCTTTTGCAGACATCACTTCATGGTAGCTGTGCAGTTTTGAAAGGAGAGAAATGGGTAGCCACAAAATGGATCCGAGACCAAGACCAAGATCTAGAAGAGTAAATGCTTTCTATTTTTTTTTTTTTTTACCTCTACCGCTAATTTTGCTAGTCACAGGAGTTTCTGTACAAGGAGCCAATGATTCTTTCAAAGCTTCTTTTTCTGTCATTTCTTTTTCCTCTTTTGAAAATCTCATCTAATGGGGATTGTAGTACAACGACTCTTGCTTGTAAGTTACCTACGACAAATCTATTGGAGCATGTAAATATCGGAAAAAATACATTCGTATTATTTAGCTTTAGACTTCCAGTTTATGTTTTTCAGAATGTACCTGGTTTAGGGATAACAACGGATTTGGTTTTGTGAATCAACACTTTACCTGAATTCTAATTTGATATACTGGAATCTGGTTCAAATCTCATCGCCCCAGCTTGCCGGCTGGGTTGAAGGCCAACGTCTTGGGCAGTGAGAAGAGTGGGGCTGTGGTGCCGGCGTTGCCTGGGCCTCCACTGTCCCTATGTTGGCTTCTGACGGGTGCCTATCCAGAATAACAGCCAGTGTTTCTCTTGTTGCGGCTCCTCCAAACCAAGCTCAAATGCTTCGAACGATGATCCCGTCCATAACAGTGGAGAATTGGCCGAGGCCCTTCACACACTTCTATTATGGTTCCCTCATCGGCCTCTGGCGTCAAAATGGTTGTTTTGTTTGCCGTACTGACCTCCGCCTTCCTCTTCTCTCGCTCTTCTCCTCTTTGTCTCTTCTCTTTTGCCTCAGTGTCTTCTGTCTCAATTTATCCGCTTGCCTCACCGCTCACTTGCCTCTGCTCGAACTTGATTGCAGGTCTGTCGCGGTTGCGGGTGATCCTCGATGCTTCTGATTCAAGCACGCAAGGGTATTTCCTTATTGGTTTCCTCATCAAGAATTTAAAATTTAATTTTAAAAAATAAACATGTATGTCATATATAATCACGTGAATATATATTATGAAAATGCCATTACCCATTTTGTGTATAATTTCAGCCAATGTTTAACGATAAATAGGATTAACGGGGAACTAAAAAATTATAAAATGACATGATTAAAATTTTTTTGACATGTCTATATAAGGTCAGGTAGGGAAGAGAATGAGTGAGTGTGAAAGAAAGTGAGAAGCAGAGAGAGAAAGCGTAAGAAACAAGACATTCAAAGAGAGAGAGAGAGAGAGAGAGAGAGAGAGAAGAAGAAGAAGAAGAAGAAGAGAGCGAGGATGGAAGGCGCATGGAATATCGGCTACCATTTTACACCGTCGGATGAAGAACTGCTTCAGATTCTTGCGATAAAGCTGAGAGGAGGGTACGAAATCTTGGGAGGCCATGCAATGAAGGAGATTGATGTGTACCAGAAGGAGCCATGGCTGGTTTTCGACAAGGACGAGTCAGAACCCTTCTATGTATTCACAAGCTTAAAGAAGAAAAGCAGCAGCAGGTCACGGATGGATAGAAAGGTTGGCTCCGGAACCTGGAGGATGGAGCGGTCGATCGACGTCGTCGACCAAGGCGACAAGGTTGTTGGGTATAAGAAGATGCTAACTTTTGAGGAGGAGAAGAAGAAGAAGAAGAACATCGAGAATGGTAGGTGGATCATGCACGATTTTTCTCTGCGGGACGTAAGTACTCAAAACTCTCTCTCTCTTCTTTCGTTCTTTCATTTCTTGAATCTTGTTTTTTCTTTCTGTAACTGGGTGTTGGGATTTGACGGTATATTCTCTAACGTTTGTTGGTTTGAAATAGTGCTTCCTTCTAATGGTGTCAGTGGCCACAAACTACAGGAGATTACCCTAGCACTCGAACTCCAAGGTTCTTTACCTTACAGAAAGGAAGATTATATAGGCGGGATTAGGGATTTGTTTAACGCCTAATAGCGGTGACCCATTTTCCAAGATTGCTTCCCTGGCTTATCTTCTTGGAAAAGGGACTGCGGGGGGGCTGGACCATACACCTATGGAACTCTAACTTATGGCCTACCTGAAAAGAGAACTTGGAAAAGACCCCAGAATTGGGAGATACTAGAGCTTTTGTTAGTCTTTCACACAGACTCAGCTGTTATATATTAGGTTATACACTGAGGAAGATATTGGTGGTCATAACCTGTTTCTTTCTTCCATGATCCATCATCTGAAGCTCCTCCAACCGAGCCTACTGAGCAGTTAATGTAGCTAGAAGTAGGATGAACAATGTTGAACGGAGAGAAAGATGCAACGGGGATCCAACGGAGTGATTCTGTTCTGCTGTTTGGACAAGTCTCTTGCTCCTCCAAATAAATCTCTGGATTCTAAGAAATAATAGAATTTGAATGTACGATACTTTATAGATATAAAAAATTTGTGTATTTAAATTTTTAATAGTAATAAACGATATCTAATCGATAAATTTGTGATGAATTTTTAAACTATCAAATCAGTAATACGTGATTACGGGATTGATAATTATTTTTTTTCTCTTTATATATTTTATATAATATGCTTAATTCTATTTTTTTTTATAATTTATAATTTATTTTATTAAATATATAAAATAAATTTTAATAATTATTTATTTAAATATAAATATAATTATATTAGTTAATCATTTAACTTTTTTATTATATAATTTTTATATATTATTTATTATTAGATATAATAGATAGAGTTAAATTAATAATTTAATTAAAAATATTATTATATAATTATATAATTTTTTATTCTTTTGGATGTAGAAGATTATGGCTTGTTCATGGATGTGATTTCATGGGTATTTATGTAATTTTACTTCATACAAGTGTATTCCATTTAATTCAAAAGTTACAAACTAATAGATGTTTAATTTTCAAAGAAACCTAAATTGACCAAATTCAAAACATAGGTTATCAAATAATTTCTCATAAATTATCAAACTTTCTCTCATGTTAATAGGAGAATTGAATATATATATATATATATATACACGCAAAAAATTACATATTACTTACATACAATCTAAAATACAATAATAAACCGAAACATATTTTCGCTAACTAAAAATGTGGAGGTATAAAAAAAAATTTACTTCACTTAAAGAAATTTATTGTTTGATTTAAAATATATGTTTGAATTTTATAGACATGAAACCAAATTCAAATTACTTAGACT